ACTGAATGCACGCTCCTCACTCAGTGGCAATATGAAAATATGTTCAAAAATCTCTGCTTCAAGATGAAAAGTGCAGTTCCCTGTATTCCGTTTCCTTTGCAGTTCCTGCTTCAGTCACGTTGGTATTTTGCTTCCTAAAGAATCAGATGCTGCATCCTTTAAAAAAAATTATCCATTACGTCCTTACTTCTAGCCTCAGGACTTGCCAAGCACTCCGCAGAAACAAACAGCCCGGTAAAAATTATCCATTCTCACCAGCAGGAATAAAAGAACCAAAATGCTCAGAGAGGAAAAGTTGCCGAATGGAGGAAGTGAGGTGAGGAGTTGAGCATCCTGCCGTCTCTCAGTCAGGAGGATGAATAGAAAGTCAGCCTCTCTGCCTCCTTTTATCCTCCCTCTTTCTCTCTTCCCCTGCTGCCTCACTTTGGCTTTTACCCTGGCTTCAATGTGTGCGAGTGCATGTGTGTGCAGCGAGGGACCTCTTTCAGAACAGCGGGAATATATTATAACCCAAACAAAAGGAGCCGGCTTATTGTTTATGAATTACCAGCCTTCCAAAGCCAACAAAGGCCCCTATTTTCATAGAAAACTCCATTTTCATTTCAGCTCCATTTGATTACCCGAGCAAAGAAAATAAAAAGGCCTCTCCGGTCGCAACATCCAAAAGGGATTCATTTCTTCTTCGTTCTCTCATTCAGCTCCTCTGAAAAGGTTTCTTCATTGCCTTCTTTTCAGCGCCGACATCAAAATGGGCTTTTAGGAGTAAACCAATGACAAAAAATTATTGCTCGCCTGTTTTGTACAATAACCAGTGCAGGGGAAAGAGAGGAGTCCTGTGTTGTCTTTGTCATCTCTTTGGCTTTTTTTCTCTTGTGCTCCTTTCTGCTACTGGAGAAGAAAATTGCAGAGGCTGAAAATGAGTGGCACAGCTTTGGAGGGAAGTGGAACGCACAAAGCAACAATACAAGTCAAGTATAAATTATCGCCGGCTACGGAACACAAAGATTAAGTGCAGAGAGAAAGAGCTTTTAAGTCGTCACCAAACATGTACCTGTTGGTTTTATAAAACCCCAGAGGCGCGCTGTCGTTTCTTTCACAGCAGGGTCGGCAAATGTTATGACTTCATTCGAGCAATCAGCTCCAAGTCAGATTGTCAAACAAATTTTAAAATCAGACAAGGATAATGAGAGTTTTCAAATGATTATTTCAATTATTAAGGTGAAAAAAGAATACAACTATCCAGACCAACCAGGCTCTATGTAAAAATATCATTAATTCAGAAATTAACAGAACATAGAGCAGGGCACTAAATCAATAGCAAAATATATTGTGATAGACAAGGGATCAATAACAATGGATAAAAAAGTCTAATTTCACAGCATTCTGAGGGATGTAAACATCCAATCTTGCTGATTGGTGGCATCAACTAATCTCTCTCTTTCATTACTTGGCAACAACATGTTGAATAACTTGCACAGCAGCAATACAAGTTTTAACCACCGTGCCTCACAACTGCTTATAAATAATACAAAATAACAGGAAACAGGCCACTTCACCAGTATTTCAAATATTTAAAAACAAAAAACTAATCAATAATGAAATGCTAATATTGTGATGTGTATTTCAAGACCCTCATCGCCACACTAACAACATCCAAACCTGTGCATGCCTGATCAATAACAGGAAGGAGAAACTGTGCAGAAAACAAATCTCACCAAAAGGAGATTTAAAAGATAATAAATATCCATCTCGTATTTCTCAGTAATCACTAAGATTACTATGTGCATCCAGTCACATTTGGAATAAAACTACTATGTTGTTCAAAAAGTAGAACCTCAGACTGATAGTCAAACAATTAAAATAAACTCTCTTGTGATCAAAGTTGCATATGGAAAACCAAAATTATGTATAGAATTGTTAAAACAAGTCAAAAGAGATTGCTTTTCTGAACGACTTAAATTTTTAGTGTTTGACACTTTTTGCAATAAAGATCTGAAAGAAAAAAAAGCAACTTTCCAGTAAAACCTGCAGACTTGATGGTAAATAAGTTTTTTGCAGATTTTCACTGGTGTTATGATAATTTAAGTTTCATTAACCAGAAGTGTATTGTTGAGTAATTTAGATATTTCAGGCCTACCATAATAATTTATTAACAGCACTACGCTGCCTTTCCTTTCATGTTCATGGGACAAAAGCCACTGAACTCAACCGAAAAGAAGAATTTCTTAAAATTACGATGTACGAAATTTAAGTAGTGTTAATAACACTTCCGGAAAAAGATTCAGGATGTAGAATTACACAGTATGTTACATACTTATAATAGTCAATGAAATAACTCTGTCCTCTTAATAAATGCTAGAAAGATTTAAATCAGTTTAGTCAATAAATTAACAACAAATGTTAAAATCTGAGAAATTAAAGTTTTTAAAGAAAATAATTTCTCTACATGTTGATTGACACAGAAGATGTATTTTATTTATATCCTGCAGGTTCCTTTTCATGTCTGACTGGATGAATATTTGGCTCAAAACAAAAGGTGAACTAATCAATTATTCCTCTCGCAAGGCTCCGGTGCTGTTGTGAAAAGCGTTGACATTTGAGCTTTCCAGAAGACATCTGCAGATTTATATGCCTTCCATTGTGCGAGGCAGCCAGTCTCTATCAAAGGCAGTAAAAGGCCTTGTCAATTTGGTAGGGACAACTCCACAAAGACTCCTTTCTTCTCTGTTGTTGCGAGGATAATGCTTTTCACTGGTGTTCTGCCAAAACCGCCTGGCAGTCCGGCCACGCGACGTTATTGATTGCATTGATAACAGACAACTACCATGGAAACTATCAAACGGATGCACGATTAAACCTCAAGCACATATTTAAAGGAAAAAGAAACTTATGAATGAAGATTTTACTAAACAAATACAGTACGTTTTGATTCATGTTACTCGATGTCAAATATACAGTCATAAGTTTACAAAACATGGTGGATTTGCCACTTCTTATCAAAACATTTTACTTGTTTTAAATCATATTGACAACAGAAACTACCCTAATGACTCATACTTCATTTTGTGTTTAATATAACCTGCACATAAGTTGACAAACTGAATGGATACTAAAGGTAACAACATCTTGGCTCCTGACAGAGCACCAAATCTATGACAGATCTCTCTCAAAAACCAATATAATCAATCCAACAAGTCATTTCTCTAATTTATGACAAGCTCCACCCGCTCATCTCTCCAGTCCCACCGGAGCATGTTGTGACCCTGACATTTCTGATTTCTGAGGCTAAATAAATCTCAAAGCAACTGCAGAAAACGCTAACTGAGCTGTATCAAACAGGAAGAGAACATAAAACAGTATCCAGAAAACCGAGAACGCCAGTCAGGAGTGTTCAAATTCTCACTGAGAAGTGAAAAACATCAAGGAAACTGCTGCCTGGTCGATCAACAACAACAACTTGGCCAGGAAAATAGTTCAGAATGCAACGAGGATATTTTGCAATAACACTGCATAAAATATAGCACAACATAGCATAAAATATAGCACAGCAAAGCAAAAACGAAAGGGTAATGCGAGTTGCAAATTTGATTTAAAAAATCTGAGATAGATGGACAAATATATGTTATATGCATGTATGTTATATGTTACTCTCAGTATTTAACCTCGTGTGCAGGTTGAAACTTAAGTTGCAATAGCAGACATAAACATAAACAAGCGATTAATTTCACTCACATATTTCACTGCCGAGTCTGTTTCCTCCCAGGAAGATGAAGTTCTCGAGAAATCCCGTCTCCTCTTCTTTCTTCACTCCAGTAGGCTGAAGCAAAAAAAATATATTAATAATTATTTTATTGGCTATTTTTAGATTCTACTCGTGCACATCGTGTTACAACTTACATTGGAGTTTATTTTTCTTTTATTATCCTTGCTTCATTCCTGCATGTAATCAAGTTTTACTGAGTTTCACCTAACAGCGGAAGGTGTAATTCGCTTTTTGACCACTACAATTAGATAACATTAAGTTGCAGTGCAGTTGCAGGGGGGCGCTGTTTCAGATAAACAAATTTCGTCCTGGATTAGATACTGTCAAATTGTCGGGTAAAACACCGTTTTATTGGAATTTTAAATGACATGGTACATAATTTAGGGGTGGAATGAACATTTCGACTCACATTTCAGTTTGTCAGGAAGATACACTACTAAGTGTAGGTACATTCACGTCAAAACAGAAGCCGCAGCAGCTTGTATAAACTAAAGAAATATAAATATTTCACTTACATATTTCGCTGTCCAGTCAGTCCTGCTGCGAAGATATCTGTCAGACAAAACAGTTTATATTAATAGTTATAAGTATGTTCTCATTTTCTACAACTTATGTTAAAACTTACATTGACGTTTGTTTTTCCATGGGACGCTCCAGAGAATCTTCGCGGGCTGGAAGTAATCAAGTCATTCCGAGTTTCACCTGCGTCCGTTTGCTAAAGGTGTAGTACCCTTTTCGACCACCGCAATTAACTAATGTCACGTGGCGGCGCTGTTTCGCTCAGATTTCGCCCTGAATTCGATACTTTGGGTTACTTGATAAAAAAAAACTGGAACACTGTTGATTTACTGGGATTTTATCTGAGATAATTTAGAAATTTTATTTATTTTAAATAAAATACATAAATGAAAAGCTTTGTGCAATTAAAAGGCCAATCCATTTCCATTTGAGAATGAGGTGCAGTTTCAACTTCTTGGTAGAAAAAAAATTATATATATATATGTATGTGTGTGTGTATGTATAGATCTATAGAGATATATTTCTCTATAGAACTATATCTATAGATCTATAGAGAAATAAAAAATTCCCTTCTCACCCACCCACCTCAGCATAGGCACCACTGTGGTCTTCATAATAGTATATATATATATATATATATATATATATATATATATATATATATATATATATATATATATATATATGAGCAAAGCTGGTCGAGACAGAACAACACAAGTTTCATTTGGATTCAGCATTTTATTTATGGGCAGTCCAATAGGTGAGATAAATAGATGGTTATTATAGTAACCTCTGCAATAATTTTCATCATTCCAACACCAGAGCACAGGACACATTTACATCAGTTACAGCTAAGTACATAAGTTAGAGTTAAATCATTGCCATACTTGATCGTGAAACTAACACAACAGAGGTTGTACTGCTAATTTGTTTTAGCAGAAAATCTGCTGCTCTCTGGATCACATATGCAATGTGAGCAAGGTCAAGTAGAAAACAGGTGTTAATAAAAGCAAGTAGAAAGATAAAAAAAAGAAGATAAATATGGGACTTATTCAACAGTAAATTGCATATTGACAAAAATAAACATTTTCCAGTGTAATATTGCTTTAAATTTGGCTTTGCAAATACAAATGTGCATTGAGTTTTTCTTCCCCCCATCAGTCTCATTGCTTAGGCAGAACTCAAAAAAGTGAGTCAGGTGGTTTTTATTGTTATTACATTTCTAAATTAGCACTAACTTATATTTTATAAGTCATTTTTAGTGTCTCACCAAACAAACTTGCACTTTGCAATGGATAACAGAAATCTAACATCTAAAGTGCCTCAATAGCATCTGAAAAATATTCAGTTTTGACAACACGAATGAAAAACTTCCCTTTTATTGCATTATTAAGGATAAGACCCAAGTTGGAACCATTGAACAGAGTTCAGTGAAAAGCCTCTTCTGACGTTTTTCCTCTTACCATGAACAAATATTCACTTTTACTGATCATTCATGATGAAAGAAATATAAGACCAGAAAAAAATATGTTTTTAAGTTCCAGGAGTTCTAAAATGTCAAAGAACCAAATAACCGGTAAAAGGTTTATCTTTGTTTTGTTTTTTTCTTTTTGCTTAAGAGGCAGTGCAAGTCATTGCAACATTATGAGCACCTTTAAATATTGCTTGAAAAATGAAAGTAGGAAAAAGTGTTAATTTGGAGCTGGAAACAGAAGGTTTAAGCCCTGAGGTTTTCTGATAACCAAATATTTTCAAGTCGTTTTATTGTAGCTTATGAAATTAAAATAAATATGACTGCTTGTTTTTTTTTCCTGTGGTCCCATAAAATTTTTCAATTCATAAGTGTTTGTAAACGCTGCTATATAATTGGCTGATTTATGATGTTTTTGGTAACTTCATAGCTGGCTTGTTGGTTCCTTTAAAAGTTTATTATTTTATATGGAGACAAAATATACAGTTAAAAGTTTTATAGCAACTCCTAATAGCAATGAACCACATCAACTCCTTTTTCCAGGACTGAATGATTATACACCATAAAACTAGAATGATTTCTAAAGTTAGAAAGTTGGAGCCAAAATTATCGATATACCCACTAACATTTGGCTTAAAGTCAAACCTACACCAAACAGTGGATAGAAAATATTTTCACAAAATGGTGACATTTTGAATAAATATTTAAATAATCTTTATTAAAGTTACAAACTGCAGCTTTAAGTGTTATGTTGCGTAATGACTCCGCTCTGGAAAAAGAAGCATTTGTACGCATCACTATGAGTGAATGCACAGTTCTCACAGGAACTGTGACCGACAGTGACAGTGTGCGGGTTTTTTTTTTTTTTAAATCAAGACTATTGAACTTCTCTATGGCGTCTTGTTCATTTAAATTTGTCATATTTATGGACCAGAGCAAATAAAATACTATCCTGGATACCAGTGAAAGGAGTAGCAACAACACTGATTTATTAAAGAAAATTGTTGGTCCAATAACAGAAGACAAGACAAAGCGAAGTGACATCCTCTTGCCTACCAGCTGTTATGGCTTCATTACTTCGTGAGCAGTCGGGACGGCTTCATCGACAGCTGGCAGGAAGTTTCCTGGTCCCTGGTTTGGCACATGGGTTCGTTCAAGGTTTTGAAGTTAAATGAAATAATGAAGAGTGGCTCAAACTACCAGCAGCTTCTGCCCACACAGCTTGCAGCTCTCATCATATGATGATTTAAATGATAGAAATTGGTCCTGGCTTCAAATCTGAAGCGGTTTCAGAGGTTGGTCTCGTCCCAGGTTGGGTCGTTCATGTTCTTCAGAACCCGCCTGACGATTCTCTCCAGCTCTTTTCTCGCTCGCTGCTCCTCCTCCAGTGTTCGTTTTATTCTCTTGTTGTCCTGGAAAACAGTAAGGAGACAGATTAACAAAGATAGAAAGGAAAAATTAGGAACTCTGCTTGTATAGTCTGTATTCCATAATGCTAAACTGAAAACAAAAATTTAGATATCAAAATGATTTTTTAAAAAAAATATAACTTCAATTTTGGGTATGAAATAAAATGGAACATTGCAGGAAAAAAAGAAGACAGAAAGACGAAACTCACCTGCTTGAGTTCCTGAACCTCATCTCTGAGGCTATAAACAGTGTCCACCAGACTTCTGCAGGAGAAAAAATATAAAATTCATAAAATATAACGTGTTTACATACCGATTCAAAACCAGGAGAAAAAGAGGAAGCTACATTCACAAAAATAAGAAGCACCACCAATGCAAAAAGCTGAACAGGAGGTCATGTTTTAAGTAATTCAAAATTACTGGTGCAAAATAAAATAAGTTCTGCTTTCATATTTTTCTTCTCCCACCCATCCACATATAGACAAATAGGAATATTATTCCTAAAAATCAGCACAGGTATTAGTCTACGCATAAGCTTTAACACAAATAATGTTAATACACTACAAAAAATATCACAATGAAATGAATTTGTACCTTTAAATTAGAAAAACAAAATTGTTGATGCACAGCAATGCGTAAATCCATCGAATAATTGACCTGTGTTTAAATATGTTGCACATATAATCAGATTTATTACCGTTCCTCCACTACAGTTTGTCCGTTGCTCCTCGTTTCTTCAACAATAATCTTCTCCTCCTCTGGGAACAGCATGTGGACATCTTTTCTGCTGGAGCCTAAGACAATAAAAGTAAAAAATAATCAGAGAATTTCACAACTTAAGCAAGCAAAAAATTTGCACTCAATTGTTATTCTTAAATGATATTGAATCAGACATTTAAAAAAAAAGTATTTGGAAGATTCCAGCAACACACTGACATCCACATAGCACCTATCTATCACACACTGAGTCAGCAGAAACGGTTCACAACAACATCTTACGAGAAAACGAGGCGGTCCTGTGACTTTGATTAGTCCAGATACTGTCATAATCGGAGTCTTCTGATTGGTCAGAAGATGGCAGGTTACTAGGGAGCGCAGCCACTGTGAGGCTGGTCTCAGCCAGCACATGGTTGTGCATGAGGTCAGTTCCCTGCCATGCTTTACGGTGCCATAAAACACCAAATTACATGTTTTGGAGGATGAGGGAATAAAATCAAATCAGATTGGATAAAGGATGGAGAAGGTATTGGGTGGGAAACCATAAAGTCAGTTTGGCAGGAACACAAACAAAATGGGAAAATGCATGACAACACAAATCAAAAATAATAGTTTGTTTGGGACAAATAAGGAAATAGAGAATGGATGAGAGTGACAGAAGCAGTTGAATAAATAGAGAAAAGAGAGAGAGAAAAACTTGTTAGTATAAAAAGCTTAGAAGAAAAAGTAATTCACAGTACTAACAAGTTGAGATAATGTGTGTGGATATGAATGCATAGAAGTGAAGCAACTCACTTGAGTTTAGAGTCTGGCGAGTCTTTGCACTCGTGCAGTAAGCCTCGATCACCTTCAGGATCTGAGCGTCCTCCTCCAGAGCCGCTGTGCCTGACGCATTAGAGGAAGATGGGAGGAACAGAAACATGACAAATGCTGAAGATGCATCCAAACGTTTTAATGCAGAAGAATCCAGGAAAAAGCTCATTTGTTTTCATCACACTGAATACATACATTTGGACAAAGTTACGAAAACCATTTTCATTTTGTGCTGAGCTTACTCTTTCTGGCAGTGAAATCTTCCTCCGATGGTTTCCTCTCTGGTTTCCTTATGGTAGGGAGCAGCGGCCTCTTGTTTTTAGGACTTTTACTTACATCCTTTAAAAGACAAAATCAGTGCAAAAAAAATCAGCACAGACTTACAGGTATAACTGCAAGAACATTTGGTTCAAATCTATATACAAGTCAAGTTTCTTTGTACAGCACATTTCTTTAACAAGGTGCTTGACACCATAAAAACCTCTTACAGTAACTCATAACGACACAAGCAATACACATCACATTTTGCCAAACACAATTATCAAAATCTCCAAACAAATACACATCAAACGTATCAATCAAACAGAAACCCTAAACAGGAGGTTAAATGTCCTTCAGGTGATAGAAGGCTGACTTTTTTAACTGTTTATGTGTCTTTGAAGGCTCAGGTTTCAGTCTGCCACTACTTTCTAGCCGAACTAGCTGAAGCTGCGTGCTAACTTTTCACACTGTTCATAAAAATATTTTATGTTCCTCCCACTTCACAATTACGCCTTACTTTGTGTGGGTCTATAAGAAGGTTTGTGTGAACGGGTTTGTGATCGGCACCTCTTTGAAGCACAGGGCAGCAGACGGTCGTAGTGGAGGTGCAGGGCGAAGGCAGCTCAGGGTCCAGGGTTTGGGGGTGCTCGGAGGCTCCAGCGGCCCCCACATGGGGCTGCAACTGGGAATTGTCCCATTTAAGGAGGGATGAGGCAGAGAGTGGTAAGGGCTCCCCCCGCGAGACTCAGAGTATCTGGAGGGCGTGGCGGAGTGGGAGGGCAACTAGAAGCAACACAGCGAAGAGGAGAAAGAGACAAATGAATGAGCAGCGACTCATTGGCTGATAATACAACATTAGAGCCTTACTGTGTAACAAGCATCCTGTAGCTTGCACACTTGAGGTGGTGTGGTGTGTGTGTGTTTGGTGAGGAGGTCCAGCCAGTCTTGTAGATCACGTTGACTGCTGCAAGCTATCTGCGTGCGCTCACACTGGCCTCCTGCTCAACAACGCGCACACAGTGAGAGACGATGCGTTATTTAATAATTCAGCTCATGAAGTGGATTATTTTTTGGAACAATATGAGATCTGTTGAAATTATTGCATTTTGAAAATAGAGAGAAAAGAGGGAGTGACCAGATATTTCAAAAGCATTCTTCAGGTTTTCTCCATCTTCAATTCTGGAGATGAGCATTCCTGATAAAGGCATTTTCCCCTACAAACAGAAATACAGAGTAGCTCCCCTTATTGCGGTTTCTGAATAACAATTCATATGAATATTTGTGCAATATAATGATGATTCAATGGCTATAAACATACCTGATATATAAATCCACTCATTCGGAGGCTAGCTGAAAGCATGAGCAGAGTGTGAGGGAACAGGATGAGGAAGCGTTCATTTGACTCCTGGAAGAAACACAAAGTTCTGCTGGTTGCAACTCACAGGCGAGATCACAAGTCGGACTTCAACAGGTAAAAAGTGAAGCTCCTTCACAGAGTTTTATACCTGGCAATTCTGCGTGTGAACTTTGACCTGGGACATGTGGAGAACTGGGCCAAGAGTTTTAATATCCTCTCCTTCCCAGTTTCTGATTGGCTCAGTCAGAATCTGTAGCTCCAGGTTCTTCCTCTTTCTTACCTCCTCGCACTCTGCCTGCGTGAAAACACACTGAAAGTGTAAACAAGGCTCTAAAAAAAAACTCCACAAAATGTGACGTAAAACCGATTCACTACTGGAAGAGAAGCGTTCTCACTGCAAGGCTTTTGAAGGCTGCCATGGCAGCACTGAGGTCAGCTCGGTCAGGGTGTTGCTCCTAAAAGACAATCAGAATATCAAAAGGAAGAATGTGCATCTCTTCAAGTTTTGGGTATTTAAAACGACTAACTTCCATATGTCTGTCCAGTTCTTTCAGCAGCGCTGGGTATCTTTCCATCCTGGTGAAGGGTTTACTCAGACTGACTGTTAGTGTCAGGTTGCCAGGACTGGATGCTCCTTTTGACTCCATATATTCCCCAAGATCGTCACTGTGAGACACATTCATAAACATGTCAATCTGAAGGATTTGTAGGTTCAACACATGTTCAGGGTTCGAGTCCATACCTGTGTTGTGTGAGCACGCTGACTGCAGATGGGTGATTGGAGCAGTAAGTCACATAAATGGCCTTCATCTCAGGCATCAGGTTCAGAAAGAAACCCCCGATTCTCTGTTGGGTCTCTGGAAGTCTACACAAATTACACTGTGATATCAGACTGCATGGAAAAAAATGTTTATTTCTGCAATTATACAGAAAAAAATGCTACAGATTCAGCTGACCACTAGATGTCTCTGCTGCTACATCTACTTCTGACTTGAAGTTTATTTAAAAGTACTTTAAAACATCCCCCAAAAAAGTGCTCCGAGTTCTTCTTAGCAGTTATTAATCAAACAAAAAATGAAGAAATTTTGCAGACAAAGCCAAAAACAAACTGACTTGGTCTGTTCGTCCAAGGACTGGACAAGCATCTGCTGAAATGTAGAAATCTCTTCCAGATTTCCCTGAATTTGACAGATGTCAACACTGCTGAGTCTGTAAAGCAGAATAATTTTGAGACATACATGCTGTAATGGAATATGTTATTTATACAGTTTTGGATTGAGGAACATTTACCTGTCTGTGGGGTGAAGTGGACGCAGGTACGTCCCCAGGAGACTCTGTAGCTCCCTTGAATATTCACTTTCTGCCTCCAGGATGTTCTGTAAAACCTGTAAAAGAGACAAAGTTATTAAAAATAAATCATTTTTCACACTTGTCCATGTTTGCAATAAATCTCTTAAAGAAAAAAACAAATTTATACAGAGAAACATCAAAACAGCCCTGATTAATTGTTGGGCTGAAATGAGTAATCAGATTAATTGTGATTAATAAATTATTGAAATTATATTTACTAATTTAGTAAGTGATTAAGTGCAGTATACACTCAAAAAATGCAAGAAAAAAATTCAGAGCAATAAATATGCAAAGAATATACAAAGCACATACATTTTGCATTTGAGATAAAAAATAAATAAATAAATAAATAAATAAAACATCTGTCTGCAGATATGTTTTAGCCAAAGCTCCTCAAGTGGAAGTGTGAAACTTTTCCTTGTTGTTGCATTTTAGGGAACATAATGTTTATTTTCTCATTTTAAAAATTAATAGAATTATTTTTTATTCTTATATTTTAATGTATTTCTAATTTTGTAAAAAAAAAAATGGATTAAGTTGTTGAATAATCTGTAGAATGTGCCATCTTCTATCTGAATAATCAACAGAAAATATGATGGTTTAATCAATTACTAAAATAATTGTTAATTTATTGGGAAGAAAAAGTTGTAAAACTTCTTAGAGATACAGAAAATCCTTGAAGTTCAAGATAAATCTTAAAGGCTTTCAGAAATGTAGTCCATTAAAAGCAAACTGGGCAGACATAGGATCCTGGGGGAGAGACAACACCCCATCCAGTGGTGTAGTTTCTTAAAAACAGGATTTTCATTTTACCCTACAGGTTAATTTGCAGCAACTACAGACGTCCAGCAGAAATTATGTTTCCGATAACTGTACATTTTTAGCTCAAACAAGAAGTGAGTGAGGTGTGAAACCATCTAAAATAGTAACATATGCTATACTGCTGCAGCAATCTTATTTCTGATGCATGTTGGTGTATTGAAAAACTCCTGTTATTAGTCTAAACCTGACAAAATGAAGCAGATTTTATGGAACATAAAGTCTTTGAGGTTCTGCGTGTCACTTTTCATGCTCTGACAGACATTTGTGGTGGAAAAATATGTATGCGACGCTTTAAAATACACAACAACTCATCTGTCAATACTGTGTTGAGGTAAATACCAGCTTATTTTTAACATGTTTTATGAAAATATGTATTAGTATAGTAAGTGAAAGAAAGAGGTCGTTTTAGTGAGGCATCATAAAAATGCCCAAAGCCTACATCTTCATCTGAGCTAGTTTTTTAAATAAATAAAAACAGGATCCTATTTTTATTTTTATTTTCTGGGATTAGTGTCCAGGAACAGTTTTCACTCCAGGCACGACCTGTATGCGAATGGATAAAAAGAGACTGCGGTTCCTCGACCAGAGACAAGACTGTCTGCAGAGCCTGTGACATCTTCCTACATTATTAAAAACACTCAAACACACTCACACCAGAAAGAGCCCACCCTGAGGCAAGGCTGCCCCAGAAACCACTGAGATGGAAGAAATAACCTACATTACATTGGCCACACTCTGTCAACACAGACCTGCCGCATGCATGGCTGCCATGTGGGCTCCACAAATCATGCCATGCTGACACACACACAGACATGGCTATGAGAAAGTCAATTAAATGTGTGAATCAAAAATAATTGATTGCGACAGCCCATAAAGGCAGACACACAATGTGAAAATCATCCTCTAAGCTTGAGTCACCACTAACCTTAAAAGCTGCATCAAAAAAAAAACTTTTTTTTTTAATTTTTCACAAACCGTCATTGTAGCCAAACATGTAACCTAAACCAAACTGGATTCTTACAGACTTAACCCATCAGTGAACAAAACAGGAGGTTGGATTTCTTGACACACTGATACTCACCATGTTGTAATAGGTCTTTGAGATGATGGTGGTGTCAAAACCTTTAGGGGGACTTTTCAGAGTCCCACACTTTGGCTTATCTGTTGTTTTGTCTAAAAATAGAACAAAGTCTTACTGCTCCAATCAAAGGACGAGTCAAAATGCATCTCTGATTATTAGTCCGTCATTGAAAAATAATTAATGTTAAATTTCTATTATATAGATTCCTTACACCTTCCTATAAAGCGTGATTCATTTAAAATGTGTGCTTTTCTATCGTGATCATTGGAGCTTATAGCTAATGAAACCCCAAAATTCAATTTCCCAGAAAATTTGAATATGACACAAAAATCAACAAAAGTAAAAAACAAAAAGCCCAATTTCAAAACAGAAATGTTATGTTAGGCCCGTGAAATCATGGGAAAGATGGTTAGCTTGACAATAATTCAGCAAATTGTAATTTATACCAGCCAAAAACAGGGTAAGACATAACAGGTCTTTGCTAAAAGACTGTGATCACAAAGTGCTGTATACGAGCAGAACATTAGAAAGTTAAGTGAAAGGAAAATGTGTGGTTAAAAAGTAACCACACTTATAATAGCAAGAGAGAGAAAGCGGTCAATCAAAGTAAATTCAAGAGTTTTGTTATTTATGTCAAGCAGCTGTGTCCCGGAGACATCAGAAACCTGAGCTTGAATTTCAACAACTCAAAGAATTAAACACTTTATAATGAACACTGGGTGTGTAATGAAAATCCATGATACATTCAGTTCTTTCTAACTGAACTTTTTCATATTTTTTAAGATTGAAGTCAAGCTGTAGAAACACTGAAAATGTACATTTATCAAACTTGATAAAAGTCAAATCACTGATGATGTGACCTCACTCGTCTGTGTAGATGATCAAGAGTTATACGTAGATGATTCACGTTATTATCTTTCAGTTTTTGCTTTGATCATTATATTTCTGCCTGACTACTAACAGGCATGTTGTTATGATAATTGCAATGTAAAGCCAGGATAAATCTCTGTCTTTTCTGGATAATGAGTATCTTACTGTAGTTAAAGAGATCAAAATGAATGAAACTACTTCAACGGGGCATACGTGTCCTCTGCTACGTCTTAGCCTGCTGCTGTCTAAGTTGTTATTTTCTGTCAGGAATTTCCTTTGTAAGCAGCAGCTCAGGAACTTCCTTTCTTTGTGTCCATGTCAAGCTTCCTGAATTTGGAAGCAGCACAGCAAACCTCATGGTTATAGACGAGCCATGAGGAACTGATCATCCTGCACAGGCTCAACTATAAGTGTCTCTGATACCAATCATTATAAAGAAGTGAAAATGCAAGTAGCACGCTGATATTTCAACATCTTCAACTAACTGCTTTCCGTATTTGTCTAAACCCACCGCCTCCTTTCAGCTCCCGTACGTAGTTACTGGGGAACCACCCAGTCTTGTCGTTCAGCGAGCCTTCCCACCAGCCCCCCTCCACCTGCTTGGTCACACAGATGACATCACCCTTGGAGAAGGAGAGCTCGTCCTCGTTGGTCGGCTGGAAGGCGAAACGCGCTTTGACAAGCAGCTGGCCGCACACGCCGCCATCCGACATGTCCTACGATGGAGCGTAGAGGCCGTGTTAATGGGGAAAACACAGCAACGTCTGGCTGGAGTTGTGGCGCCGGCGTTGGCAGCATGACTCACCAAGCTGCGGTACTGAGGCTGCTGCAGCTTCGAGGAGCGACTTTGAGTGTTCAAAGAGTCGAATGATTTGATCCGTATATTGGAGGAGTGCGGCACACATCCGCTGTCTCCTGGGACAGACACTTCAGCAAGCACACAGCAGGAAACAAAACCATCACACTCAAAAACTTGCAAAAGACATGAACACTAAATGTGGCCAAACACCTGACTCTTACCTTCAGTGGCTTTGTTAAGAGCAACTAAGGAGTTTAGTACTTTGGAGAAGTTCAGTCCCTGCAGGAGGTCACTCACTTCAAAAGGCTGGAAAACAAACAATTTTTAGCAATATGTTTTGATAACTTTTTTTTTCAGCCTAGTCGAAGTTTGTTATTGAACAACCTGGACAGTGGGCCAAAATTTCTCTGAATAAAAAACCCCAAAAACCTCAAAGACACATACAAAAGGAATTCTCTCTGAGAAACTATTCTTTTCTATTCTATTATTATTCTAAGAAACTATATGGACACCCTTTCTAAAGCTATTTATATTACTCACAAAAGCAAAATGAGGGTTTCTGGAGTGGCCTAGTCAAAGTCAGGAGTTAAGTCTGACTTAACTGCTGTAGCAAGAAACATTTTTGTTGCCCTCCAGTATCACTGGCTTCTGCAAAGCAGTAGTGCTGCACCACAACTTATTCCAAATGTTTATTTGGGGAAAAATACATTTTGCTTTGATATTGTCTAGGTAGAAAAAACATCAACAACCAGAATTATCTGTAGGGTAGCAAATACTTTTGTTGTGGATTCAAAACAAGCGAGAGAGATTATTTTTGTCATCACTTTGGCTGCTCCCAAAATATGCATTAGCTGCCTGTGCTTCATTGGTAGTTATGGAAACAGGAGGCACAGATTCACTTTGATAGGATTTTTGTTTTTATTTATTTTTGTACTTGACAGAAATGTTAAATCTATGGAACTGATTCCTAAATGAGCGCGTCTTGAATTGGATCGACATGCATTTTGATGGGTTTTTCTTGTTTTTTTTAATCTTCTGTCAGTGGGGTAGAAATTAAATTCAGGGACAATCTGGTATTTGTCTTTCTGTCACAGTTTAAAAGGACAACACAGGGCGTATGCCTCTCTGTTTGCATTTCTAAATGGGTCATGGCAGGTCATGACCTCCTCCTCAGTGAGCATGCAGAGAGATAATGTACAAAACAACAAACATCCTCTTACACAGTATTGATTTTAGCCGTGGGAAAAAGAAGAGTGGGATCATAATGTGCAGCATGCAGACTCCTAACAAGGTTTGCTGTGCATTTGTAAGATAGATGGGCTTTTTTTTATTAAAAAAGAAAAAATCTTGAATCCTTAAGGAGCGATGGTGAGAGCATGAAATGGATAAAACAAGGGGGAGAGGAAGAGTGGGCTGATGTAATGTAGTCTGCCAGGCATCCAGTGGATTTTCCAATCAGCTTGATTAGAGGAATGGCAGCCATGTCACTGGAAGCCAAGGTCTCCGTTACGAGCAGTCGGGAGTAATTCCCCCAGACAGTCGTGAAGCAGGCGGAGGACAGGCCAGACCGAGCGCCCCACAGAAGGGGATTACAGAGAGGAGGGTGAGCGGCGACACGAGCGCAGACTTGGGTTAACGGAAGCAGCACAAGAAGCGGTCAGATAAAAAAACGCTGCTGGATGTTTGACTCGCTGTAGAAAAGCTTGTATGTCTCATGGTAGTCAAGTAAACTGCTTAATCCATCACAAGCTTCTGGTTTAAGCTTATGGTGACAAAATAAAAATATTAGCAGTATTTAATCATTCTTACCTATTTAAATGGGAGAGTGATCAAAAAACTGAACTTCAAGGTCATTTTCTGATTATGTGGCTTTTGTAAGTTACGTTTTCTACTAAAACTGATTAAAAAGGAGAAAATCGCTCCTCTTTTTAGTGAAATTCACTTGGTAAAGTCATAAGATGTACAGGCTGCGCTTTAAGCTCTCGCTTTCATTGCATCACATTCCAGTCCTGTTTTCCTTAGAGGTGCTTTTAACTTTAATTTAGCAGATGTCACCTGCGGTTTAATATTTATGATTCAGTAGACTTTAAATTTTGTTCTTTTAAATTTAAAATTTTTTTAATAAACAAATGGATGTTACTTATTTCCATTTATTATAGAAAGATTTCATTAATTTAATAGAAGCTGCAATAGCAAAAAAAATCCCTAATATTTTTATGTCCCTCTAAAGTCGATTCTTCAGACTAGGGTGTGTAGAAACAATATTTGACAGATTAATTACACCATTAGTAAAACTTTTATTCAAGCTGAGGGCTCGCTGTATATTTTCCTTTTACCTCATTTTTCCCTCGATTTCTAGTCTGTGAAGTTTTGGGTCATTGTGCGTCCGTTGGCACAAAGTCGCCCCAAAGTGTTTTGGTGAGATTAGCAATCCAAGCCGAATGCAAAAGACTGTATCTGGAAGTGTTTGGCTCTTTATACTGTAAAGATGTTGCAGTTTAATTTGCCACTTTAAAAGGAACGGTACACTGAAAACAAACAAACAAGCTCTAAAGAGCTAAAACCTTGGTTTGCAAATGATCTAAAATAATGCATTAAAAGTTAAAATCCTCGTCACGTATGGCTCCATCTTCACAATTTGCTAATATAAACATGCTTGTGTGTGGTTTACACAGGATTAGAAGCTTCCGAGGTGTTTTGATTCTGGCTGCGTGTGTTGCCAGTAACATGTGTGATCGAGCGATTACAAGAGGGAAGCTCAGACTTAATCCGCCTTCAGACCAAAGTTGGATCAGAGAATTAATGCAGCATTTGACTCAGTTTTGCTTCATTTTTAGGGTGAAATACTTCTTAGAATGCAAACCAGATTAAAAAACTATACGGGCGCCCTTTCGTCAAACTACTTTGACATGTGGCCCCGCCCCTTTTTAACCGGAAGTCCCGCCTCCCAATTTCCTGTGACAAGAGGTGCCCCCACCCATTTTAGTTATTCAGTTACAACCCCTCCCACTGACCCCACCCCACTTCAGGCTCCCCCCTAGAGGACATCTTAGGCATTTATTTATTTATTTTATAGAGAACTCCTATTGACCTCTGAGTTTTAAGAGTAATACAATAAGAATCGGCGAAAGATAATTATGAATAATGTATATTATACATACTATGCGTAGATAAGTTTCAATAGATTTGGAAGGTTGTAGTTCCCTTCGGTTCTGTGCCTCAGCGGTTTTTAAGATAGCATTAGATAGCATCTGGGTAAAGTGGTTTGAAAACAAAAAACAATAATAAAAAAACAGGGTCATTCTTAGGACTCTGGTCAGCGCGCAAGGCTTTGTCAGTTAGTTTCCCTAGCAATGGAAAGGTAAGGTAGGTATTGGTTTAAAAGTTTATTCTCACGATCGATGGAATATCAGCTTTCACCAGCTCCATCAAGAATCAATTGACATGACGTGCGTATGTGTAGGAGCGCGCGTGAGTGTTCGTATGCGCACGTGTGCGTGGCCGAGCGTAAGAGTGGACTGGCGCGCGTCAGTCCGTTTTAAAAGGAGAAAGAGGGGGTAGGGTCAGTGACAGTGGTGGTCAGTGTACCTGGGTGTGTGTGGGGCAGTCGTGAGAAAAAAAAAAAAAAAAGCCCTTGCCCCCTGCAAATACATACGTCTAAAGAAAACCTACAATTTAACTTCATTATTTATGGTAGTATGACTAGTTAGTGCTGACTAACACTAACTAGTGTTAGTCAGCAGTTTGTGATTTCTTTCATGCTTTTCTCCAAAATAGTAAAAACCTGTTTAAACGCATTTGAAACTCATATTTTTCTGTAACACTTGCTAGTGTGATACATTTCAGTAAATGTTCCTCATTTGTAAAGTTATTTCTTAAGAATATGTGACACTTATTAAGCGGATCTTAGTGATGTTACTCATATTTAAGTTTTAGCTTTTTCTCACAGTTGAAAGATTTTTTCTTTCTTTCTTTATTGTTTTTTTTTAACACTGCACAACTACGCTCCAACATGGTGAATTGCTTTGTTACTTTTATCGTTATCCACTACTATTGGCTCTAACTTATATGCTGTATGTTTCTTGGCCCGAATGGTGCTTTTTTTATCCATCCATCCATCAATCCATCAATCCATCCATCCATCCATCCATCCATCCATCCATCCATCCATCCATCCATCCATCCATCCATCCATCCATCCATCCATCCATCCATCCCATCCATCCATCCATCCATCCATCCATCCATCCATCCATCCATCCATCCATCCATCCATCCATCCATCCATCCATCCATCCATCCATCCATCATCCATCCATCCATCCATCCATCCATCCATCCATCCCCATCCATCCATCCATCCATCCATCCATCCATCCATCCATCCATCCATCCATCCATCCATCCATCCATCCATCCATCCATCCATCCATCCATCCATCCATCCATCCATCCATCCATCCATCCATCCATCCATCCATCCATCCATCCATCCATCCATCCATCCATCCATCCATCCATCCATCCATCCATCCATCATCATCCATCCATCCATCCATCCATCCATCCATCCATCCATCCATCCATCCATCCATCCATCCATCCATCCATCCATCCATCCATCCATCCATCCATCCATCCATCCATCCATCCATCCATCCATCCATCCATCCATCCATCCATCCATCCATCCATCCATCCATCCATCCATCCATCCATCCATCCATCCATCCATCCATCCATCCATCCATCCATCCATCCATCCATCCATCCATCCATCCATCCATCCATCCATCCATCCATCCATCCATCCATCCATCCATCCATCCATCCATCCATCCATCCATCCATCCATCCCATCCATCCATCCATCCATCATCCATCCATCCATCCATCCATCCATCCATCCATCCATCCATCCATCCATCCATCCATCCATCCATCCATCCATCCATCCATCCATCCATCCATCCATCCATCCATCCATCCATCCATCCATCCATCCATCCATCCATCCATCCATCCATCCATCCATCCATCCATCCATCCATCCATCCATCCATCCATCCATCCATCCATCCATCCATCCATCCATCCATCCATCCATCCCATCCATCCATCAATCCATCAATCCATCCATCCATCATTTTACACACTTGAGTGTGTTCAGTAACGAAATATAGTTTTTGAATTTTTTATTACTAATGCTTATAAATGATCAATGTAAACCATCAATCTGTATTCAAGTAGTGAATACAATTCATATTAATTAGATTTGATGTTTTAATGCATGCACTTGGATTTCTATTGATTTATTGAATGATGGTCTGCGTAAAGATGGCCATTCAAGTTTTATAGTTTTTATTTCTTTTGGTTTTTGTTGCACAACTTCAAATATATACTGGCTATCAACCAACAATTCAATCAGAGAATTTTATTGATTTATTTTTCTTCATAAATACCCTCTCTCACATCTTCTGACAACTAGCCCAGCTTATAATAACATTAACTAAGCAAAACTGAGTCAAATGCTGCATTAATTCTCTGATCCAACTTTGGTCTGAAGGCGGATTAAGTCTGAGCTTCCCTCTTGTAATCGCTCGATCACACATGTTACTGGCAACACACGCAGCCAGAATCAAACACCTCGGAAGCTTCTAATCCTGTGTAAACCACACACAAGCATGTTTATATTAGCAAATTGTGAGATGGAGCCATTACGTGACGAGGATTTTAACTTTTAATGCATTATTTTAGATCATTTGCAAACCAAGGTTTTAGCTCTTTAGAGCTTGTTTGTTTGTTTTCAGTGTACCTTCCTTTTAAAGTGGCAAATTAAACTGCAACATCTTTACAGTATAACGAGCCAAACACTTCCAGATACAGTCTTTGCATTCGGCTTGGATTGCTAATCTCACCAAAAACACTTTGGGGCGACTTTGTGCCAACGGACGCACAATGACCCAAAACTTCACAGACTAGAAATCGAGGGAAAAATGAGGTAAAAGGAAAATATACAGCGAGCCCTCAGCTTGAATAAAAGTTTTACTAATGGTGTAATTAATCTGTCAAATATTGTTTCTACACACCCTAGTCTGAAGAATCGACTTTAGAGGGACATAAAAATATTAGGGATTCATTTTGCTATTGCAGCTTCTATTAAATTAATGAAATCTTTCTATAATAAATGGAAATAAGTAACATCCATTTGTTTATTAAAAAAAATTTAATTTAAAAGAACAAAATTTAAAGTCTACTGAATGAAAAATATTAAACCGCAGGCGACATCTGCTAAATTAAAGTTAAAAGCACCTCTAAGGAAAACCAGGACTGGAATGTGATGCAATGAAAGCGAGAGCTTAAAGCGCAGCCTGTACATCTTATGACTTTACCAAGTGAATTTCACTAAAAAGAGGAGCAATTTTCTCCTTTTTAATCAGTTTTAGTAAAAAACGTAACTTACAAAAGCCACATAATCAGAAAATGACCTTGAAGTTCAGTTTTTTGATCACTCTCCCATTTAAATAGGTAAGAATGATTAAATACTGCTAATATTTTTATTTTGTCACCATACGCTTAAACCAGAAGCTTGTGATGGATTAAGCAGTTTACTTGACTACCATGAGACATACAAGCTTTTTCTACAGTGAGTCAAACATCCAGCAGCGTTTTTTTATCTGACCGCTTCTTGTGCTGCTTCCGTTAACCCAAGTCTGCGCTCGTGTCGCCGCTCACCCTCCTCTCTGTAATCCCCTTCTGTGGGCGCTCGGTCTGGCCTGTCCTCCGCCTGCTTCACGACTGTCTGGGGAATTACTCCCGACTGCTCGTAACGGAGACCTTGGCTTCCAGTGACATGGCTGCCATTCCTCTAATCAAGCTGATTGGAAAATCCACTGGATGCCTGGCAGACTACATTACTCAGCCCACTCTTCCTCTCCCCCTTGTTTTATCCATTTCATGCTCTCACCATCGCTCCTTAAGGATTCAAGATTTTTTCTTTTTAATAAAAAAAAGCCCATCTATCTTACAAATGCACAGCAAACCTTGTTAGGAGTCTGCATGCTGCACATTATGATCCCACTCTTCTTTTTCCCACGGCTAAAATCAATACTTGTTGTTTTGTACATTATCTCTCTGCATGCTCACTGAGGAGGAGGTCATGACCTGCCATGACCCATTTAGAAATGCAAACAGAGAGGCATACGCCCTGTGTTGTCCTTTTAAACTGTGACAGAAAGACAAATACCAGATTGTCCCTGAATTTAATTTCTACCCCACTGACAGAAGATTAAAAAAAACAAGAAAAACCCATCAAAATGCATGGCGATCCAATTCAAGACGCGCTCATTTAGGAATCAGTTCCATAGATTTAACATTTCTGTCAAGTACAAAAATAAATAAAAACAAAAATCCTATCAAAGTGAATCTGTGCCTCCTGTTTCCATAACTACCAATGAAGCACAGGCAGCTAATGTATATTTTGGGAGCAGCCAAAGTGATGACAAAAATAATCTTTCTCGCTTGTTTTGAATCCACAGCAAAAGTATTTGCTACCCTACAGATAATTCTGGGTTGATGTTTTTTCTACCTAGACAATATCAAAGCAAAATGTATTTTTCCCCAAATAAACATTTGGAATAAGTTGTGGTGCAGCACTACTGCTTTGCAGAAGCCAGTGATACTGGAGGGCAACAAAAATGTTTCTTGCTACAGCAGTTAAGTCAGACTTAACTCCTGACTTTGACTAGGCCACTCCAGAAACCCTCATTTTGCTTTTGTGAGTAATATAAATAGCTTTAGAAAAAAACGCAAGTTAAAGAAAAGCAAGAAAACAAAGTCTAATGAAAGAGCAGTATCTTAAAATCCTGACCATATAATCTTGACAGTTAAAATTAATGTTAATTTGTAGATCACTACTCAGTGACAAAACAAAGGCACTTTTTCATGATAAATTTCCATAGAAAAGCCCGTTACTCCTGACATGCCTTATAAATTGTCAGAATAAAAATTTTAATTTTGTAAATAATTAAAATAATTTTTGTTTGTTTGTTTTAAGCCTCGCAGTGTGATTAAGTAAATAAGCAAGTGATGGAGTGACTCACCTCCACACTGAAACCCCCGCAGCCCTTAATAAACTCCGCGATGTTCCTCTGAGACTCGCTGTCGCTTCGCGGTTCCTGGAAAAACTGTGAATGAAAAGAAAAACCGGTTCAGTTTTAAACAGTCTTCTGAAGCGGTAATTAAGCCCTACGGCAGATTTTAAAGAGTTTCTTTGACTCACAGACGTGTTTGTTTTAACACAGTGTACACTTGCTGCTCCCAGGATCAAACAACCTAATCAGCACAACTTCCGGTTTTACCTTTCAAAGTAAAGTAAACAATTGCAAAACAAGCTTAAAATGCGACTTTTTTGTTTGTTTGTTTTTATAGCGATAATTAAGCGCTCGATATTTATTGCATATAGTCCTTATGCATTTCTAATCGATAATATCCCCGGAACGAATGGAAAACTCTCAAGAACTAAACAGCTGCTTCCATTGACAGCTTTTATTTTGAAGGGCGCACTCTCTCATCCCATAGTTTAAGTTTTGTTGTTATTTGCTGTGTTTTGGCATTTAAATGCTTTTAAAAATCAAATCTTCAGTCAAACTTTTACTGCAACTGCGGCAGCTGAAGGAGGATGTGACGTCAACAGACCCACAGTCCATTGTTTGAGAGTGTAGGGGGCGTGGTTTGCGCGTGAGCGCAAATGAGGATAACCTTGCACACCTATGAGATCATATGGTTAATAAAAACCAAAACAAAACAAAACAAAAAAAAAACATAATAAATGATTTGATTAGTTACTGATTGTTGTAAAGAAAAAAGTGAATTTCATCAAAATAACAAGTGGCCAAAACAAAAGTTATAAACCAATAAAAAGCTAATGATCTATTTTTAGACTTTGATGGACATAGGAACAATCTTGTGATTCTTTTTTTTATTTTTTTGGAGTCAGATCTACATCTATCAAACAAACAGCTCTTGCATTTGAAATATCTGCACATCAAAGTCATTGATTCCCAGAAAAAGGCTGATCTGTGGCTCTTTAGTTACTTATCTTGGTGTTTGGGTTTTGTTTGTTTGTTTACCCAAATTGCCAGCCATACTAAACACGTCCTTCTTATTGCTTGTTTTTTAAGATTTCAAAAGTATGTTTGCAATCACACTTTTTTATATTTACACATGCAACACTTTTCAAAACAACAAAAAAATTGTTTTAACTGCATTGTGTAACAATAGCCCTCAAAACTATTTTTTTGTTTTGTTTTGTCAAAAGTGAAAATAAAATGCAAAAAAATCATACTGCAGGCTATTTGGAACCTCCAGTTATATTTTTAACAACTTGATTATATTTTTTTACTCATCGTGTACAGTAAAAAGCCTTCCGAATATTAGGAAAGCAGTCTTCCATTTTTAGATTGCTTACTTTGTCCACCGTCCCAGGTCTGAGTCGCTCCAGCAGCCTGCACAGAACGACTCCATCCTGCAGGGACGCCTGGAGGAAAGCCTCTGGATCCGACACGCTCTTTTTGGGAGACTCCAGGACCCCCAGCGTGATGAGCCACGTTACCGTCTGCTCTGCCGAATTCATGATTTTTGCCGTCTGGGATCGTCCTCCAGCAGCAGCTCGGTCAGTCCAGGCTGGGTGAAAACCCCCCGCAGCCTGGAAACAGAAGGATCGGAGCTGGAAGTGAGAAATAAGACCGCTCCTTCCTCCTCCCTCTTCTTCTCCTCTCTTCCTGAGGATGCTGATATCACCTTGCTTTGTGCACAGCTGTAGCAGCCAGCAGATTCATCAAGTCAGAAGCTGCAGGAAATGACTTCCTTTAGCAGTTTTCAAAGTAAAAGTGGAAACCTGGGAAGAGGTCGATCCTCCTGCACCTCCTCTCTGTGCTGCTGTTGCTGTCTGAAGACATGCACCAGTCCCAACCAACAACAACCAATCAGAGTCAGGGGGAGGGCCTTAGCGATGTCAATCAATGCTACGAGCAACAATCATCAAAATGTGAAGACTTATATCAGTGCTTTTAATTTGAAAGGGAATCCACTAATTTCTGTTCTGTCATTGTAATTTTTACCATATGCAGCACAGATACGGAGATGTAATCGCTGGAAAATTACCCATATTTCTTGCACCACAAAATCTCTCATATAGCATTTATAATGTCAACATATTTATTAATTAAATAATGAGACAATTGGGATGAGCAGAACATGCTAAAGGGCTCATTACTGTCAGGGGTTTAATTTGTTTTATGTACATTGTGTTTAAAAAAAAACCCAAATAAAAAAACAAAAAAAAAAAAACAGAATTAGTGGCCTGACTGAATAAATTGGAAAAAGTTGTAAAATATGTAAACAGCTCTATCAAAAGAGACTCTTTCGCCCCCTGTTGGACACTTTGGCTTCTACAGTTTGCTGCAAGTAGCTTTTCTAACTCTCCAGCTCAATATTCATTTATATTTTGGCATAAATTATGTAAACATCCTTTAGGTTTCCTAAGAAAATCCCAATTTGAAGATGTTTTAAGTCCACTAAAAATGAAAGCTGAACATTTCTGCAGCGATTTATTTCAGAACTTCAATGTATTTAGCTCCATCCATATAACTTTGACCAAAATAAACTACCCTCGCAACATGATGTTGCCACCACCAGGCATGACTATGGCAATGGTCATGCTGACTGCATTTTTGCCAGTTTTAAAACTCTGCTTCTAATTAAATAACAACAAAAAAATCTATTCAATTTGAACCTTAAATTGGCTAATTTAACAGATATAATGATGCATAAATGACACGAACAAAGGTTATAAAGTAATCAACAGGATGGCAACTGGCGTGGAAACACCCAAACTGCTTCAAAGTGTGAAGTTCTGTGTGAAAACGATGAAGATTGGTTTTTATATTTAACTAATACTTATTCAATGTTTATACCTCTTGAACTGTTATACATTTCATCAGCTCAGATTTTAATGCCTTTTATTTTGATATAAACAACAGACCTCCATCACTGGTGAGGGAAAAGGTGACTAGTTGATATAGTTTAGGGAACATTTTTAATTTGTGTGTTCTTCATCGCTGCTAAAAAAAAAAGTTAACAAATAAATGGAAATAACCCAGCAAGAAACAAACTCTGGAAACTCAAAGAGAAAATAACAAAGGATTTAAAAAACAACAATTATGAACACTCTTATGGATCAAATTTACACAAATTACATTAAATAAATGTCAAAAAAGGATCAAAGAGGTCTAAGGTGATAAATACACGTTCTTGCACATAAAGTTGCTCTCAATAATACTAAAACATAAGAAAAATATTTCAAACTAATATTAATTAATCACATAGACTTTCTTAAGGCTAAAAGAACAGTCGCTACGCCAGCTGGTGGCAGAAAAAGGAAGCTGTCAACAGCTGCCATCAGGTTTTTGAGGAGGTCAAAAACCCTGGATTGACTACAAGGAACCAGCTGGGAGATTTATGTGATACTACTGACCTAAAAGCACAAGAACAGCCAATTCAGAATTGTTAAAAGCATTATAAATGATCTAAGGAGGTTGTGGGATTCAGTTCAGTAGAGGATCAAAAACATGAAGCCAGTGGTGGTCCTCTGAAACTGTAGAGCTGCAGTTTGTGGAGGGGAGAATGGAGAAGAAAATCTTTGGGAACCATTGCTAATCAATACTAAAGTTTAGTGTAATGGAAGGGTTCAACAATTTCAAGGGTTCGGAATTTGGTAAAAATTTCCTTTCAACAATTAATCTCCAGAAGTCACTTGAAATATAAGTTGTGTTGAGACATTTAAACAATTTTTAATTTGTTTAATGCAACCGATTTCAAGTTTGTTTCCACCAAACCTAATTAGCAGAGGTGGATGAATGACTTTTAAAGTGAAGCGGCCCACACACAGTCAGCGTGTAGGCCGCAAAACCACAAAGGTTTTGCACATATTCATAACCGATTTACAAAACTGAGTGCAAGTGAAAAGTTTCCAAGTCTGCAAACAAAGTTAATTAATAAAGTTTATTATCTTTATTAACAAGCTGAACAATGCTGGGTTCATGTACTTAGGAAACAATTAAGAGGCTTCAAGTTTGAATTTGACAAACTTCGAGTCTGGATGGAATGAGGACAAATTAAACATTTTCAAAGGTTTTGCAAGCGGAAGTGAAAGTTAGATGGGCTGTGCCCTGAGTGCGGCAGTAGGTAGTATGATGCTTGACTCTGCTACTGCATAAGAAACAGGCGTTGACAGTCACAGCAGTTTCATCAGGCATGTCAGTTTTTCTGTGGCTGCCCTTCAACTTCCTTATTCAGCCCTCTGTGTGTTTCCTCTTTCAGCAACTGATACTATTCCCCTTCAGCGCTCTGCTTTGGGTGATTCTTTGCTTTCGAGCTGTAAAACTGAGCCATTTGTCTGCTCTTATTCGAGTGATGTTGAGGTCGGTGTCGCTGAACTTAGTTGTGCTCGGTTTTAGAGGTCTGGACGGGGCTTTTTGATCCGTGGAAGGAGAAGACGACGGGTGAGAGCAACAGGTACGCAGCGCAAACAGAACAATTTGGTGATCTGCTCTCTTAACTCACTTTAACTGATCAATTCTCTTGTGCTTTTCAGCTCCAATGCCGGCCTTCAGGTTTTCTTTATGAGGGAGAAGGAAGCATCAGAGTGAAACGGTGACAGTCATGTGCGTCTTCCTGCAGTAGTCTACGTGCTCTGCGTCCGCTTCTGTGTGAACAATGTCGGGCGACGTCAACACCTTGACCTGGAGGAGCATGTCTCCCACCAGCCCCACAGATTCCTTGGATATGCCTCCCATTACACACTTGGGCAGGGAAAGCATCTTTCCGGTGAAGATTATCAAAGTCTGCTTCCTCAGCAACAGTTCCAACCTGGGGAAGAACTTCAAACTGGTCCGCTGTGAGGAGGGCTGGACGATCAAGGTACGCTTCGCTGTTTATTTCCACCAGTCTTTAATTACAGCAATACACTGTAGAAAGTAAGTCAAGATAGGGGAAATAAGCAGCTAAAAGGTTGTGTAATGGTGCACCATTAACCGACCTTTCAAGTTTTCTTCTCTGCTCTTCTGCTCACTTCAGCATGGCAGCTAAACATTATTTAGATCCTCTTCAAACTTAAAACATAAGAATCTGTCAAAGTGTTTGGGTCTTTCTCACAATCTACAGCAATTCATTCAAATTCAAGTCATGTTGCCAAATGTAAAGTGAATTTCTGGTCTTCAAAGAGCAGTAATTCCCAGTGGTGAGCAAGCATGTGGCAACAGCGGAAAGGAACGACTCACTTTTAACAGGAAGAGGAAGATGCCTCGTCCACACGAGAACGCTTTCATTCACATAGAAACTCAAAGAACAGACAAAAACACAATTTTTGGCACAAAAAAAACAAAGCGCGACTGGAGTCTTTTGTGTGAAGGGATGACAAAGTCAAGCTTCTTCTCTGTGTCACAATGGATCATACAACTAATCAACTACAAGATGTCGAATATGCAATCTGGCACTGTTGTTGTTTTGCAAGTCTAGGATTATAAATCAGGTTAGAGGGTGAGCTAATATCAGTGTTTTCAGAAAATAGGTGTTTTCACTGTCCACACAAATATCTGAGAGCAAACTTTTCACTCTGGAACCCCCTAAAAATGTTTGCCATTGTCGGAAGTACGAGGAAACTACGAGGAAAGTTTCACCAAATAGTTAAAATGTGAATACATTACATAATTTTGAATAATTTCAGAGGAAAGTTAAAGATATCCGAAGGGATCGACTGATTATTCTCCAGGCTATGCGGCACATTTAATCTTAAATATAAATTTGTAAAACAGGACCAAGTTTGGTTATTTGATTAGTCAACCTGATGTGGTAGTGGGGCTACATATCACACACAGCATTTAAAAAATTTGCATAAATTCTCTATGCTAGAAAGTACATATATGGTAACTTCTTTTAAACGTTTCTGACAACCACAGCATAGTCATCGTTGCAGGAGGAACTTTTATTATGGCTTTATTTATCATCACTTTCAAAGCAACATTATTATAACCTCTATTACAAACTACTGAGCATGGTCATTACAACATTTACTTGCTTAAACAGGTGTTACGTGACACAAACAAATGGATCTTAAATTTATATTGTTCCAAATTCCTGCTACAGATAGCTGTGCTGCACCGTTAACAGTATGTCAACAAGAGCTGTTTAGCTTCACCTTTGCTCTACATTATTTCTGTTCCCTTGTCTATTAGTCGTGCAGGTGAGAACACAAGTATTTCCATTTTTAAAACAAAACTCTTTCATGTGCTGAGGTTAAAATTGCATTTGCTGATTGTTACTGAAGTGTGTGTCGTTTTCAGTTTAATTAAATTAAGTCAAATGAAATCTAATTAAATCAAATGTGACTTGCCTTTTGATTGACAACATTTATTTTTTCCCACATGTTCTATTGCTGACATCTCTGGTATAAATTTAACTTAATTGTCAAAATGTCCGTTTAGGTATCGACTATTAGCAATTTGAGCTCCAACAACGTACTTATTAGAATTCTGTACATTTAAATCCTGATATGTGTTTGCCTGATTTAGTGAAACTCTAATGGCGAAAACTGAAAATAAACATTTTACTATTAATGCACGGTAATGAAACCGACTGTTGAAGTTT